CTTCCACAGGGCTATTACCACCCGCTTCTCAACTGTGAGGGCTGCTCTCATCTTGGTATTCTGGCGCTTCAGGGCAGGGGAAAGCAAGTCACAAAGTTCCAAGAAAGTGCCCTTACGCATGCAAAAGTTTCACAGCCACTGGGAATCGTCCCACACCTGCAACACTATGCGGTCCCACCAGTCTGTGCTTGTTTCCCGGGCCCAGAATCGGCGTTCCACGGCTATAACCTGCCCCATTAACAGCATGATCTCCAAAGCACCAGGTCCCGCGGTTTGATAGAATTCCATGTCCATATCCTCATCACTCTCGCCGCTGCGCTGCCGTAGCCTGCTCCTCGCCGCCTGGTTTTGCAGGTTCTGGTTCAGCATAAACTGCACAATAACGTGCAAGGTGTTTACAATGTTCATGACTGCTGTCCTGAGCTGAGCGGGCTCCATGCTTGCCGTGGTATGGCATCTGCACTGTTCACCCAGGAAAAAGGCGCGAAACGGTTGTCTGCCGTTGCTTCCCTGGAGAGGGGGGAGGATATACCCAGAACCACCCGCAACAATATTTTTGGCCCTATCAGGCATTGGGATCTCAACCCAGAATTCCAATGGGCGGAGGAGACTGCGGGAACTATGGGATAGCTATGGGATAGCTACCCACAGTGCAATGCTCCAGAAATCGACGCTAGCCCCGGTACATGGACGCACACCACCGAATTAATGTGCTTAGTGTGGCCGCATACATTCAACTTTATACAATCTGTTTCCAAAATTCAAATTATATAAATTCGGATTAATCCCGTAGTGTAGACATACTCTTGGAGACTATAAAGTTGTTAGTCTCTAAGGTGCCACAAGGATTCTTCATTGTTTTTACACTTTACAAGTGCTTTCTACATCTCACTTTAAAGACTGTTGGACAAAAGAAAAACAAAGAATTGAAAATTTGATCATGCAAGTGAACGTGCTTTCTTGAACCTTCCGTATCTGACAGTCTGGCCTTCCCTTGGAGCATTGTATTGTATCCAGAGTTTTTCTGGCCATTACTCATTTGCTGAGTAACTTGAAATGGAGGACCATTTCCTTCAAGGAAATACTTATATTTCTTTCCTTGGCTCTATTGCAAATGGCTTGAGGTGACTTGTTAACTTTTATATAGTTAGTATTTTTCAGTTTTGGAAACTATAGTTCTGGAGAATTCTTTTTGGGGAGTTGTCCTAAGCCTGGCTTACATCCAGATATCTGGTCTGCCTCCAATTAATAGGAGAAATGAGAATATGCATATTGTAAAGATTACCAGAAATGGAGAATTCTAGAAAAAATATTCACAGATAAGATCACATTTTTCTATTGGCCAGAGATATATGTGTATTTAAAAAATTTTTTTTTCCTTTTCAGGACTCCACAGGTTCTTTAAAGAGCAACTTTGAATATTATCAGGTATGTATCCTTATTGAGGAGTATAGAACAAGGAAAACGTTGCAAAAAAAAGTATTCATGAGCATTCATTTAATAAAATCAAATTCACTTTGATGTTGCTCAAAACTACTTAAATTTCCTTTTGTTAAATGTTTATCCAAGCTAATTTTGGTTTGTAAGAAAGTTCATCAAACAAGAAACTGAGAAGCATACTTATGTAAATATGTATTCAAACTAGTGTTCATAATGGAGGTGTTTGGTGGCTTTCTTGAAAGCTCATTGTGGGTTTGGGAGTCATCCAGTCAGGGATAGAGTGGGAAACAAAGCACCAACAAGAAGAAATGTCAGGAGTAGCACCAGAGGAGGAAAACAATGTCACTTAAAGAATTAAGATTTATTAAACATGTTTGATAGCGGTAAAGGGATCAGAGTTTGCGGGAGGAAAGAGAAATGGGACAGACAGAGGTAGTGACAAATTAGATAAATACTGATATAAAGGTAGCTTTTTGACCTGGAGCTTGCCTTGCCCCAATAGACTGAGAGCTTTAGGAATGAAATAATGACACAGATGGGATGTAGGTATGGGTAAAGGTACCCAGAATTGTCTGATGTCCCAAGAAATTCCCTGGACAGATCTAATGAATAACTAGGATGAATAAAGGCAGCTGTGGTCAGAAAAAGAACTATGCAAAAAAATTATTTGGGACTGTGCTTTGCATAAATTCCTTCTGTTTTTCAACAGTGGAAACCTCAATATGCGGAATGTTCTGGTAAGATAACTACATACAGTTGAACATTGTATCTTAAGGTTGCTAAATTTGGTATTTTATTATTACTCAGTTTATTTAAAATCACTTCTAGCATGTCATAACATATTGGAATAGGCCCCTTTATATAAAAAACACAATTTTCAGTTGTGAGTCCTTAAATTAGACCTATTAGCTCTATTTTGGTTCAGGGCCATACAATTCAAATATCTGCATCCTACCACTCTATTTGCTGGTTTAATACTTCTGAATGAACAACAGGCTGACGTGTACAAGAATCCTGCTCTCTGCACCATAAGTGGCCCAGTTTTCTGGATGTGTTAATGGGCCTTAGATTAGCTGTAGGAATGTGCAAAATGAATAATAAATTTACAAAATAGAAGGTGTCTTTCGATCACCTGTCTTTGACATCCCTTTTGGTCTTTAGTCTTTCTTTGTTACTCAAATGAAAATGAAATGAAAATTTCATTTTGGACATAGGCTTCTAATTCTCATGCCTTTGATGTGTGTTTAGGTGGTTTCCTCTGGTGCTAAATAGGTTGATCTGAATCCTGCGTTTTGTTTTTCTTTTCTCTGAGAACAGCTTGGATTCCTTGGGCTTGATTCTTCAGCCTACTACATTCATTTTATGCTGGTATAAATCCACTGAAGTCAGTGGAGTAACACTAGGGTAATGGAATGAATCAGGCCCCTTATTATAAAATAACAGCAAATACTAAAATTATCTTACATAAAACGTTGTTTATTAGAGTTAGAATACCAATAAAAAATAAATGACAAATGTTAAGCAGGATAGTGTATGCCTATTCTAAGAATACACAGTCTCCCTTAGGTATGATACTTGTTATAGTTTAGTCCCTTTGATTTAAGCAAGAGCAAACATACATCCTGAAATATGCATGAAATTATAAAAAATGCCTAAGTCCCATTTTCAAAAGTGACATAAACATTGAGAGTCTAAGTCCTGTTGCCTTTAATGAGGGTGGAAACCAGACATGAGAAGAACCAAGAATGGAATTGGAAGAAAGAAGCTCCAGACAGCAGTTGTGGACAACACGTTCAGTGTATCTGGAGATGAAGGGGAGAAGAGATGTTGGGTAATAGTATGAGTGGGAGAAAGGGTCAAGTATTTTAAGATGGAGAAGATAAAAGTATGTTTATATAGGGAGGGAAAGGAAACTGATGAGAGTGAGATGTTGAAAAGAGTGAGAGAAGGGGTGACAGCATGAGAGCTGGGCAAGAGAGGTTAGAATAATAAAGGTATGGGTCCTTTGGGCAGAAAGAAAGGTTGGAAAAGGAAGACAGGTAGTGTTTCACAGTCTGTGACGGGGGAGAATGTACTGGGGATAAGGGGGGAAAGGAAGAGAGAGGGAACAGAGACTGGCCATTTTGATGAGTAAGGGAGTCGATCCATAGGTGCAAGTCAAACAAAGAAGTGAGGGCAAGAAGGCAGGAGGCTGAAAGGTGAGCTGGGACATGAGTATGGAAATTAAAGTAACCAAATATGAGAGTAGGGGATTCCAGTGTGAGGAGGAATGAAAGCCAGGAGTTGAAGTCAGTGGGGAAGGTGGATGCAGGGGAGTCAGCTGGTCAATAGACAGCAGCAGTATGGAGAGGGAAAAGTAAAAAGAGTTGGCTGGGTTGTTGTTCAAAAGAAGAGAATGACTGACAAGGGGGACAATAGAGGAGCTAGAATTGACAAGATTGGGACAGGAGAAGTTCAAGGCTCTCACTCTGATCGTTTGAGGATGCCTTGGTCTGTCTAAGGTCTTTTCTGTGCAACGATGATAATGATCTTGCTCCCCTGAATCTTGTACTATGGTTCACATTTTTGTCTTGATTTTTTCATGATAAGCATTGACAAATCTGAATTTTGCCTGGGTAGAAGGCCCTTTGGATCCAAATATCAACCAGATTTTAATATCTTGTTTATCAAATATTGTAGTAAACTGATCCTGAGATACCCCACCCTCTCCCTTTTGTAGTGAGCAGGGATCTGGTGCCATTCATGGTAATAGATGGGATCCCATCCATTACTAAACCTCACTAGAGCAAATCCAAAACACCATTCCTGATTTAAACTTTTTCTTTTTCTTTTATCCTCCAGCTTCCCCCCTCAGTAAACAAACAGAGAATTCAGAAAAAAGAGATGGAGAAGAAACAGAAAGAAAGAATGATAAAGGCAAAAAAAATATTCATCAAACTTGCTCATATATTCTTATTTCTTGGTTTACATAATTCTTTTTTCTTTAAGATGTCTGAATAGATTTAATTGTTCTGAAAGTCATGAGCCATAGTGTGGGCAGGCAATTTGCATACTTCTAACATCAATCTCCAGCAACATACCTGAGTCTTAATTTGAAATTTCCATGCTATTCCACTTCTGGACCTCTCTTCCTATAATAATAGAAATAAAGTTATTGTTCTGATAGTATGGGTTGTTGTTTGTATAGCACTACTGCTGTGCCACTGGCGCTTTACAGACATGTACGGACGTAAGGTCCCTGGGATCTTACAACCTAAAATACACAGGTAATGAAATGGAAAGTGACAACAGATCATTGTGGGGAGGGGGATCGACACAACAGTACTGGACGGGAAGGAAATATAGCTTTTGGGAGAGTGTTGTTTTTAAGTAAAGCTCATTGTATAAATTGTCTTATATTATTTGTATTAATTATGAGTTATTTATTTAAATAATATTCAGGTAACAGAGAAGGACATATAGCATCAAAGAGAAGATAAATGGCAGTATGGTAGCTGAAATAAATGAGTTTTGGAGAGGAACGTGAAGTTGAGTGAATAAGGAAAAGGCTGTCCCAGGTATAGGAGATCTGCTTTGGGCCTGATACAAAGCCTGTTGAAGTCAATGGAAGTCACTCCTTGTGCCAGCCAAAGGAAGGGGCAGGCATAGGAGTTACTCTCCCTTCAGCAGATACAGGCAGAGTAGCCAGAGACGGGAGCAAGACTAGGGTATCATTGCACATTGGCAATCCCCAGCTGCTGGAACGGCCAGTGTAACTTACAGCAGGGACTGGAGAGGCACAGATTGATCTCGGGATCAGGAAAGTTCAAGAATGAGGATTCTCACAGAGTGTCAGGTGGACCAAATTTTAATGTGGTTTTAGGATATAGTTCTTTATTTTAATACACATAGAAACGAAAAGTACAGCAGCATTCGTTTTAACCAGAGACTGCATAGTTTGGGAATTATCCTCTGTAGCTCAGTCCCATTGGTTATTTTACATTTACTCCATTTGCTGCTTTTGCTCCATGCTTGTTTTGATGAACTAGTTTCTAATTCCACTTTTTTCTTCAGGTCCTCCTTCTCGTCTACCAAATAAAGAAGACTTGTGCATCTTCTTAGCACTCCATATGGAAAATTCACCAAACTGTCAAGAGCCAAGATGTAAATATGTTGGTAACAAACAAAAAAACTCAAATATCTTAAAAGTGAGTTGGGTGAATTCGGTATCTATTATGCAGAATAAGAGAGGCCATGATATTAATTAGGATTTTGACTATTACATATTGCTGATTATGATTTTGACTGGTTAGAATTTTAACCTACAATATGCAAAATGTCCAAGAAGTTCTGATAAATCAAAAACTCCTTTTATTTTTCCAAATTGCATAAATACTCGGTCCCTATGCCAGCCAACAGTGGTGGAATAGCCTTTAAAAATATCACAACATTATCTGGTAAAGATTTCATATGAGTGAAGTGGTTTCCAAATCTTAGTGTTTTCACGTGGTCATGTAATGTTTAGTCTTACATGATCTCATCATAGTCCAAATTTGGTATATCATAAAACAAGCACACAGCACAGTTGGTAGTGTCTGTTTTAAAGTAGTTCAGAACTGGATGAGCAGAGATTTTGCAGGTTGGGGTTGAAGTGCACTGTCACTTGTGTACAGAAGGCTTGCAGAGAAAGTATCTGCCTCAAGCCAACTCTGATAGTTCCTCATTTTCACAAGCACAAAAATCAGCCCCCCAAATCAGGAATTCTATATGTGACATTGTCTAGGATGTTCTGATATTGTTTAATGTGGTGCTGCAGAACTAGGAGTAGTAAGCAGAATAGTTTGGCTATATTAGTACTAAATTATTGCAGTTCCCATCTATCCTTACGGATATTGATGGATCTGTGTGTCTGTCTGGAGAAGAATTTCCAGACAGAAGGACTACTTTCCTTCCTTCTCACTAATTATCCTTATTAAAAATGTCCAGGGTAAGCTCTTCGGGCTAGGGATTGATATGTGTTATATGTTCGCACAGTGCCTGGTGCAATGGAGTTCCACTTTGTTGAGGTCATTGGGTACCACAGCAATATAAATGTTAAATAATACCAATAATATATTTGATAACATTTGGCTCTTAGAAGACTTAAGTTTGTAGCATAGGCAGCCTTAGTTTTCAAGGACAGAAATATAAAAGCAAGACTTTCATACTGAAGAAAGCTTTAAAAGAAGTAATACTAAAATATATAATTCTTACCTATATTTTTAATCTCACTTACCTCTGTTTAAAATATGGTCCCTTAGCCAATATTTTCCTGTTTGGTCCTGCAGTGAAATTATTGTGCTTGTTTCATCCCTGCAGTTGCAGAGGATGTAAATTGCACCTCAAGGGGCAGTTGCTCTGGGGGAGGGTTCACCATATGGGAAAGCAGTCAGTCATACAACTTCTACTTTCCTGCATGTGATTCACCATGGGGAGCAAGCATAATTCTAGCTAGGACTGAGGGTGTGTCTTCACAGCACATTGAGCTTGAGTTACAACTTGAGTGATACCCCTAACTCGACTCCCATTCACACACCAGGCTCTTGCTTGAGTTAAGTGGTGCTTTAAGATCAAACTAGCTGACGCATCTAGCTAATGGTGAGTTGAAGCTCAAGTGATGCTGGAGTGAAGCTCAAACTAGTAATGCAGTGGGGATGCAACCTCTTGAGTTATAATAACGCATCAGCAGCTAATTCAATTATCTGTGCTGCTAGTCAGATCACTCGGTGTAACTCCAGTGTTGTTTTGAAGTGTGGTCGCTTGCATTTAAACTAGGCAAGCTCAAGTGCAGTAATTTGAGTACATTTAAACTAACTGTTGCAGTGAAGACAAGCCCTAATGGAGATTTCCCCGGAGAGGCACTGAATCAGCAGATCTCCTGGGTACGTTAGACCCACCACCTTCCCAGTCAATCCCAAACATTTTCTGTGTTCTGCTAGCTGGCTGCACATGCCCCCACTCAAAAGGAAGTGTTGCAAGCAGTTTGCTTTGGTGAAATGGATATTGCCATCCCCTGTTTTAATTGGCAGGCTTAAACATAAGAACGTAAGAACGGCCATACTGGGTCAGACCAAAGGTCCATCTAGCTCAGTATCCTGTCTTCCAACAGTGGCCAATACCAGGTGCCCCAGAGGGAATGAACAAAACAGGTAATCATCAAGTGATCCATCCCTTGTCACCCATTCCCAGCTTCTGGCAAACAGAAGCTAGGGACACCATCACTGCCCATCCTGGCTAATAGCCATTGATGGACCTATCCTCCATGAATTTATCTAGTTCTTTTTTGAACCCTGTTATAGTTTTGGCCTTCACAACATCCGCTGGCAAAGAGTTCCACAGGTTGACTGTGCGTTGTGTGAAGAAATATTTTCTTTTATTGGTTTTAAAGACATTGTAAAAACATTTTTTTGTAGTTTTTCAAAACTGGAATTGTCATCTGTGAAGCTAACAAACCGAAAAGGATTATCACAATGGACTGCTCCACTGAGGATCTTCATGCTGTGCCAAAAGCATTGTTAAGGTTTCCAAATGCACTGAGATGCTGTGAAGTTTACCTGTCCTCGAATGCCTTGCATCAGTTGTGCAAAACTTTTGATTCAAGGTCAGTATCAGAGATACAATACTTGTAACTAACTGGCATCATACCCGTGAAAGACTCACAGGCTGATAAAATAGTGATGTCAAGGGTTACTTCCTTTCCTCTCTACTCTTTTCCCATTCCCTCATGTCTTCTGCTGAATAACTCATCCTATTGTTGAGTGATGGTTTAGCTAGAGAGGTAAGTCATCCTGTCCTCCTCAATTAACTTTCGTACCACAATCCTGTTATTGAAAATGAGTGAGTAAATGAGTCAAATTAAAACTGAGACTGAAACCTTAACTCTGACCAGAGGTGGCCTGCTGGAGGCTCAGGTTAGGAAAGTGTTGTTTTGTTTTTTTAAGGTTTCCCGTCAGGTTAAAAATAGAGAGAGGATGTATGGGAATAAATGTTGTAGAAATTGTGGTGACAGAAAGATTTTATGCATATATGATGGACATGTCCAGTCATTAGAGAGTATTAGGATGCAATTTCTAACCTGATAATACAAATTGTTGGATATTATTACCAAATGATCCTTTGGCAAGCCTTCTGGGGCTTCCTAGAAGACATGGTCATACTCAAAGAAATAAAAATTCATCTCTCATCTGCTTACAGCTGCTAAGCTACTGATAACCTCTGATTGGAAAAAGAAAAATAATACAAAGCTAGAGGAATAATTATAAAAAATTAAGGGAGGGTGTTGCTATGGAAAAATTAATGTATCAATTATGCCCAGCAAAAAAGGCAGAAGACAAATAGATAATTATATATTTGGTTGCCATTTATTCAATACTCAAAGTGCATTTGCCTGCGACAAACAAACAAACAAAACCTAATCAACAAAAACAAAACCCAAACACAAAACCATATAGAACCCATTTAATATTTTTGAATATTAGCATCTGATAGTCACACCTGGTTTGATAAATATGAGTAGTCTGTAGTTTCACTCAGTTTAATCACATCACGTGAAACAATGCTTCCTGGATGGTCTAAAGAGATTCATTCTGTAATATGGTAACACCTTGCTAAATAGAGAGGAATAATTTTTATCCTTAGTCCAATCACAGTTAAGTAGTGATCACCTTTTAAACAAATAGAAACATCAAGATCTACTTGACTAAGCTGAATTTTAAATGGAGTTATGTTTCTAAGATTTATAGTGGTGAAATTAATTTTAAAATGTACATTTCTGTGAGCATTAAAATGGATTATTTATATGTGTGGGCAGTTCCATCTTTAGGGTCGTATTGAGATTTCCATTTACAGTGGCAACAAAGTTCTTAAAATAAATATGACAAAATAAGTTCCTGGTTTCATATTATGTCTGTAATTCAAAAGATGTCAATTTTTAAAATTTCTATTAATAATAATTTGTTTTGCTTCAAGGGTGAAATTTCTGTTTTATTGTTGATTGAGCTATGTTTTCAATTTACTGAATGTGTTCAGTGAAGAGGATGTATTATGTCTGAGATTAATAGGAAGATGTTAATGACATAGCTGTTAATTTCTTCTTCGAGTGATTGTTCACGTCCATTACACATTAGGTGTGCGCGCGTCGCATGCACGGACGTCGGAAACTTTTTCCCTCAGTGGCTCCCGTCGGGCCGGCAGGGGGGCCCCGCCAGAGCGGCGCCCCGCTCTAGCGCATATATACCCCTGCCGACCCGACCCTCCCTCAGTTCCTTCTTACCGTCCGTGTGCCGCAAGTCTATGCCGATTAGCAATCCCCACGACTCGTGTCTCCATTGCCTGGGGGAATCGCATCAGAAAGAGCGCTGCAAGATCTGTAAGGCTTTCAAGCCAAAAACTAAGAAAGAGAGAGACTTTCGGCTTAAACAGCTACTCATGGAGGCTGCATTACAGCCCTCCACTTCGAGTCATCCGACCGCGGCACCATCAGCCTCAGTGCGGAGTGCCCCGGCATCGGTTTGTGATCCAGCACCGCTGGGGCACCCTAAGCCTACGGCTCCGAGACAACAAGACCGGCCCCAGCACCGGTCGTCTTCACCGACCCAATCGAAGGGCCAACCCAAGGCCCGAGGGCACTCCCCACATAAGAAGGTAGCGCCCGTGAAGGACTCGAGTGCGCGAAAGGGCACTGCTGCCCCAGGACAGATTCCAGTGCCAGTGGCTCCGGCGCCGAAAGGCCCATCGAGCCCTGGGATAAGCACCTCAAGTAAGGAGGAAGGGCTGGAGGAGCTCCTGGAACAGCCCTTGTCATAACTATAAAGGGAAGGGTAACAGCTGTCCTGTGTACAGTACTATAAAATCCCTCCTGGCCAGAGACTCCAAAATCCTTTTCCCTGTAAAGGGTTAAGAAGCTC